TGTTTTATAATCAGAGGGCAGTTCATCTTATATTCTAACTAACCAGTTGACAATAGAAAGGGTATGAATGTAGAAAAATCTTTAATTAGTAGGCTCCTATTATGCTAGTTCCCTGAAAACACATATTATGGAAAATTGAATTTTTAGATCCTTGAATTTCTTAGATGTTTTTATGATGCAGTCCAGTATTATGAGACTCCAGTCTATTCCAAGTCAAAATTTTAAGCTACATGTGATAAGTTAGCAGTGGCCTCCTTGGGCATCTGGTGAATGGCTCACAGATGTTCATTGGTTGAAAGTTGGTTTTTTTTTGAAAGAGTTTTTTTTTCCCAAACTTTAAAAACAAAGTAAATAGCGTGAGGAAAGCATATTTTCTTAATGCTGCTGTGTCGATTTAAGTCAGTGTAAGTTTTGTATTGTCTTACGTTGATGTCCCTTACATTCATTATGACTTTAATATTAAAAGTTTCATTTCTCAAAAATAGCCCACCAAATTCCATGAAGAGTGAAAAGTGTAACTATATAGTGGGAATACGTATCGAATGTAAAAGTGGTATCTGTACTTATGACTACATATTTCATTGAAATTAAAATAGCACTTAACAAGGGAATGAAGTATATCCTTTTAAGATGAAAAAAATGTATTGAGAATCCTTGCTTGAAACAATTTCTGAATAAGTATTAAATCTGAAATACCTTGCTTGTTATATTAGAAGTTTTTGGTACTCTCTTTGACCATTTTCTAGCAATATTCTCTAGCATATCTTATATTTTCTTAGTTTGTATGATTCTCCTTTTTATATTTTCAGTGGCAAGAACATGAGCTTGAAAGCACAATTTTTCAGGGTTATTCCATTTCCCATAATATTTCCACAGCATTGTCAAGGAGACTTAATAAATGTAAAACTGTTTTTGGAGTTTCTGTTGTATTTTGTGCTTTGGTATACCTCAACAGATGCTTTTATATTTATATATCTCTGTTTGTTTGTAAGTCATATTTGTATTAAGTCTCATTTTAAGTATTGTTCAATTACAATTAAGTAGAACAAGTATTGCTTTCATTTCTATTTTTTGCTCATTTGCCTATGTATTTTAGTTGTAGATTTCCTTAATTATATTTATGAAAATTTCTAAACAATTACTTTAAAACTACTTTTATATGTAATAATATATAATGATAATTATTAGGCTCAGAAAATTTTTTGATCTCTTCTGTTAAATGCATTGCACTAAATATTGGTAAGCATTTAATAGAAATTAAGTGAATGCTGAAGTGCATCTCAGTCCACATATATGATGGAACTTCTGTAATCCTTTTTAGGGTAGTACAGCATTTATCATATTGGGATGTTACCTCTGATATAGAGAATGCTAGATATGTTTAGCTATGCAGATAATTGATAAACATTTGTAGATTTATTTAACACACATTATGTGATACCCATGAAATATTTAACTTTTAAACATTTAACATAAAATTAAAAAGATGATTTATAAGTAACAACAGTTTAATATTAAACATTGTAGTGACTGGATCACTTCATAATGTAAGTCAGATTTGACCAAAACATTTTGGAAATCTCTTTTCTTTAGTTGACATTATAAACTCTGGCACAAATCCTAATTTACATTACATTATAGAATTCAAATGAAATGAACCTTTTCGACCTATATTTACAAATATTTGTTCCATTCAGCTATCAAATACAGTATTAGCTTAGTGACAAATTTTTTAAAATTTAATTTTATAATGTTTGCTTGATAGCCTTTTAGGTCATTTAAAAATGAGCACTATCTAGGGACTTCTATTTTACTACAAATTTTGTAATATCAGTTCGTTCTGTATTAAGGTGTCACAGTGAACAAATGGCCTGACTTCAAATAACAAATGAGGCACTCACCAGACAAATATGATGTCAAATTCTTTTTTGCCAAATTTTGCCTATGTTTTACTCTGTGTAAGATCCATGAGCTAGACTAAGTGAACAAAATTCCGTAACGGTATATAGTTTCCTTAATAATAGCTACTTTATATTGGGCAGATTTTCTATCCAGTTCTTAGTCCATCTCAATTCTCAGTATAGAATACTGTGCAAGAGATAATTTGTATTTGAAAGGGTGCAGTGATGTTTATAGAATATTCTGACATCTAGAACTTATTTTCAAACAATTTCACAGTTTTCTATATGTTCTTTGTGTTTATTTGAACCAAAGACAAGGACGATCCTGAGATAAGCATCTTTGCTTTTGGTTCTTGTGCACAAACAGTCATACTCTTTCTTACCTGCTCTGCTGACCTTTTGGGTTAGAGTTTCAGGAAAACAAGCAGAGGTAGTAGCTACAGTAAGACAGCAGCTGGGACCATACGGATCTCAGCATCCTGCCTTATGGCCATTATCTTTGTTTCCATCTTTAAGCATCCACTATGTCTCTTCTTATGCTCTTCCTGCTCCTCTCCTCTCTGCCTCCTCCTCTTCCTGACTCCAGCTCCCATGGCTCCCTGTAACTTCTCTTTCTCCTTCTTAATTTCTCTCTTTTCACACAAGATGAAGGACAGTGCCTTAATTAGAAAAAAAATTTAAATATTTTTAAAGTATATGTAGCTCTGCAGCTATCATACCCAATTCCCATGACCACCATTAACAGAAGAAAAGAATCATTTTTATATACATTATCAATTAGAGTGTATTAGATTATAGGTCCCTTAAGGGCTAAAAAAATGGATATTTAAAATAAATGCAACAATTTTCTCATTTTTCTTTGTAGAAATAAGTTCTTGATGCAATAAAATATAATTTGAAGCTAACAACGAGAAAAAATAGTGAGTAATATCCTTTCCCCTTCCCCAACTGCAGAAAATGAAAATCATGTCAGCATCAAGTCATTTTTGCCACATCCCTTGTTAACAGCTTTTTCAGGGTGGGTCATAGTTCTGTGTTTTGTTAGTGTTTTAACTCCATAGTGACATGCTTAAATCTTACTCCACGTTGATTTGTTAATATTATGTTGTAGAATGTGTAGTAAAAACACATATACATATTTTAGGATAGCTCATGATAGGTCTTATTATCAGATTATTATCAACTTTGTCTAAAATTTATAAGCTGGAATAAACAATAAATTAACTAATATGAAAAAGTTAATTGATTTTGCTGCTCAGAATATGTGTATTGTGTCATTGTGTATGTCTAAAAAAGTAAACTTACTGTCTGACTGTCGCCAGAAAAAAAAGTGGGACCTAATCAAACTGCTGTGGGGTCAACCCTTGTGGTTTTAAAGGCCCTTAATGTTGTCCAGCTGCAAAATAAAAGGAATTGGGAGGGGAAGTTGGAAGGAGTGGAGGGGGTTGGGGGGGGATGTGTGGAAAAGAACAGGGAGTCTGGCTTTTATTTTTTTTTTAAGTGAGTTCAGTGCCAGCCTGGACATTGGCTGTGCAGACTATTGAGCCATTGTCTGCTCCATTTCCAGAATAGCCCCCAGTTAATCACTTCGGCTTTGAAGGGAATTTCCTCGTGGAATTCTCCACAGAAAATCTAATCAACTGACCTGCCCTCTCAACAATGGAAGGCTTTTTTTTTCCTCTCTTTCCCTTATTGGGGCGGGCTCTGTAATGTAGCCTTTTGTGCAGAATGAACCCTCCCAGTAGGAGTGGAGAGCGTGTGTGAGTGTCTGAGTGTGTGTGTGTGTGTGTGTGAAGAATGCACACTATCTCGTGTTGGTGAGTGTGTGCTTACTCTCTGACCAGATGCTGCGGTGCACGGGGCAGCCACCATCTCTGCGTGCGTGTCTGTGTAAGTGTCTCTCTCTCTCTCTCTCTGTGTATGTGCCTCTGTCATTTCATGTCAAAGGTACATTACCTGATTACCTTCCTAGCCTGCCAGATTTTTATCTAGATAATTGGAACTGCTATGGAGGCTGTGCCTTGCCAGCCAGCTTAGGATCTATAAAGCCATAGTTTGTCCACCTTGTTATCTCTGGGTGCCTGGGCAGAGGAAATTAAAGAGACCCTCAACCAGGGGAGTGTCTCCCACCCCAGACCTCCCCAGTGATCCCAAACAGGACAGTTTGGCAATATCATCTTTTCGTTTTTATTTTTTGGTTGGTTTTCGATTTTTGTTTGCTCCTGTGTGATTTTGGCATGTGGATACCTATTCCTCTCCACATCGCGCATCGTGTTTTATGGAGTTTGGAGCTGAAGAAACTTTGGTTGGGTTGCCAGGACATTCGCACCACTTTGTGGAAAGCAGGAGCTAACAGTGAGACCGACAGAGTGAGTGACAAGTTGTTTACAGGTTTCCTTGAAGGGGCCTCTGCTATATTTCAATCTGTCAAAGTTGCTTTTCTTCCCTCAGAACAATGCCTGATTGTTGTGTGTGAGCGAGTGAGTGTGTGTGTGTGTGTGTGTGCCTGTGTGTGGTGTGTGTTTCCCTGTGCGCTTGGAGAGAGCCTTGAAAGGGGTGAGAAGGAATAACAATTCTTTGTGTAAAATTGCTCTTACTAACATCTAATCTTTTTGCTTAATTAGTTAATAAATGCAATTTGATCGGGTTCTGTTATTGTACAGACTTCTTTTCTAATCAGCAAATGCATTTTACGGAATCATACTCCTGTGTGTGTGTGTGTGTGTGTGTGTGTGTGTGTGTGTGTGCATGCCTGTGTGACTTTTATTATTTAGAGGAGAGAGAGAGTATGGGAGACGTGTCAAATGAGTTGACTTCTCACATTCGGTGATGTCTGGTGATGTCTAGAAGAGAGAATTAAAAGGAAAGGACGGGCACCCTAAGGTTGTCTAGAGCTTTGCAGCTGAGCGTGCGGCTCCGTGGAGTGTGGAGGGGGGAACGGCCAGACCCTGCTGCTGGAAGTGCGCGCTACCCCTTTAAGAGACTGGTCAAGGAGTCCTAGGAGAGAGAGAAGAGGGGAGGGGGAAGGGGGGGGAGACAGAGAGAGAGAGAGGGAGAGAGGGAGAGAGGGAGAGGGAGGGAGAGAGAGAGAGAGGGAGAGAGAGACAGAGAGGGAGGGGGGAAAGAGAGAGAGAGAGAATCAATTGGTTTAGGAGGTTTGGACTCACTTGACAGGTTCAGTTGGAGAGGATCATAGGTGGCTGCTCTGACAAAGGGAAATTGTGCTTTTCCAGCATGCTTACTGACCCTGATTTACCTCAGGAGTTTGAAAGGTGAGTACAGTTTCTTTCCCCCTAATATATTGAAGTAAAACTCTCCCATTTTACAGTAGTGTCTGAATCAGTTGGAAGATGCTCCCCCTAAATGTGTTTGTTAGAGAAGCTTTTAACTAGGGCTTCTGCAATTTTGTTAGCTAATTTTTGCTGTGATTGCCCGGACAAAACTGAACTGATTTGTAAAGTCTCTGAGATTTCAGCTAGTGTTTTTAGGTTGCATGCTGCAATCGGAAATTAAATGAACATTAAGCATCTCTCTCTCCCCCACTCCCTGCTTCTCTTCCTCATTCACTCTCCTACTTTTTTCTTCATTGATTTTTTTCTCCCCTTCTGTACCTTTTAAAAATGCTTTTGTGCAGAGTGTTACCATTTTCAGTGTCTCTGTCTCATGTAATTTCTGGGGTGACAGAAGGCTTTGGTGGTGGTTAAAACGGAGGTTATAAGTTCCTATTCGATCCTTCCGTAAAACTTTGGAAGCTGCTCAGTAAAACACATGACCTTTTGTTGATATAAGAGAGCAGGATTTTTTTTCCTAAGAAAATTTAACATCACAGTTATATACTAGTAGATTACTCTTGAAGTGTCAAAAGAAAAAAGAATGAGAAGGGGGAAATGGGGCTGGTCCCTTTCTAAGTTTTGGTGCCTACTTTGTGCTATCTGTTTTAACTGAATTTTGATTTACATTTTCCCCTTTTGCTAGGATGCAAGTGAATGTATTTGTAATTAAGTTGTTTATATTTAGAGAAATATGTGCAATGTCCTTCTATTTGATGTTATTGCAAGCAAAGCAGGGCTTTGAAAGAATTTTAGCCTTTTTTATATTCCTATAAGTATACATTACATTTTTAAAATTTGAGTTCTTATCCCAGCATAAGTTCATTTTTTGGAACTATAAATAGATTTTTGTTTGCCATTAAAAAGAATTCAAACTTTGTATCCTGTATGGTGAATTTTTTAAAAAAAAGCTAAAATAAGCCAGGATGCATGATACCCAGGCTTTTTTTTTTCATTTTCATGAAAGCTACCTTCTGTATAAACATTTGTTGTATCTGACTATGCAATGCAAGCTAGGTGCTAGACCAGCTGGTTAAAAATATGCTAAGTCAAGCTGTTCATCGTTCAAACGACTGAATTTGATATGAAAAGACGAAAAAAGAAAGGACAAAGATTAAAACATTCTAGAAGTGAAGAAATGGAAGAGAAAGAGTATTGAAAATAAAATAACCCTTAAATGTGGTCTTATATTAGAGAAGCCAGTAGCAGATCAGGGTATAAAGTAAAACAGCCAGCAAGCACACTTTAATAGTGTCTTTCTTTTATTTCCTCTTCTTTTTAAAAATTAACAAGGTGTATCTTCACAAAATAATTCCAGGGAATGGTCAAGCTTTCTGAACGGTTTTGACTTCATTTGATTCAAAGTTTTATATATTAACTCTAAATTTTAGTTTTTATTTGCAAATATAGCTTTAGTTCATATGTAGATATTGAAGTTATTCATAGTGGAACACACTATTGCCTAATATAACAATTTGTTTATTTAACACGGTTTTCAAGCATGTGCAGAATAGCACTTAAATGATAATTTTCCCTAATTCTAATTATACATTTTGAAAATAAAACTCTGAGTCAGATTTGTAAGCCTGTTAACAGATTGTTCTTATGAAAAGGTAGTTACATATTAACAGGCTGTAGCCTATTTCTCTATATAGGCAAGCTTCCTGCTGTGAACTTTATTTGTATTTTTTCAATTATCTCTTTTTAAACTAAACTTTTCCCTTTTGTATTCCGATGCTCAAATCTCTTAACGTTGCTTTATCTTCCGATTGAGAATTTCTTTTCTTTTTATTTTCTTCTCTTTATTTTTTGGTCACCCAGAGTCATGCTTTTCTATCTGGCTAATTAAATAAGCAAGTGATAATCAGTAGGGTTGTTAATATGGACATCGCATTTGGAAATATTTTGGAAACTAATTTTGGAAATTGTCATACAGTATAAAACTTTCAAATAATTTTTCCTGTGGTTGTGACTGATAAGAAACTCAGTAAATCATTACTGTTTGTTTACATTGAATTTGTATGGTGAGTGTATCTGTAGTCACTCACATAGAGTATATCATGCAGATACAATTATGGAATATTTATATTCTCCAAAGGAAGTATACATGATCCAACTGCCCCATCATATATAATTGAGTTTTTTGGAATTTCAACTATTTGCAGCTTTCATTGAGTAAGTAGATCATTTCTACTGACTTAATTTTATTCTATTTGCTCACCTGCCATAGATGAGTTTTTCAGTCAAACTTAGAAATCTAGAAAGAAAACTTAAATTTCATAAATTTCTTTATGAAACAGAAAACTTCGGTGTACAGTACATAAATAAGCTGCTGGGGCTTATGTATTATAGAAGTTTTATGCAATTTTTGCAATTTATTTCTAATTTCATTAGCATTGTCTCTCTTCTATTATTCTTCCAACCTGTAGACCATTTGAAACTTTAATGAATATTCAAAACTTAAAATCAGGATCAAAATTTGAATTTAGATCTGTATGTTTCTGTATTTCCAGCCATAGATATAAACATGATCAGTAGACTAATGAATTATTAAATAATTAAGAAGTACTAATAATTTTATTGTTTAAAAATAGTCAGAGGCAGAACAAATGTAAGAGTGATTCTAAAAAGTAAAAAACTTGAAATAATTCATTTTATTTTGAAGCATCTATGTCATAACTGATTATGATTACTGAAAAACAATTTCTCTGTGGCAGATGAATAGACAAAGCATGTCATGAAGAATTATTTGTAAGAAAAGTATTTTACATCTTGTTGAGAGGAAGCAGAAATGGCAACATAGTTTAAATGGCATCATTATAATGAATGCCTGAACTCTCTTAACATTTATAAACAAGTGAATGAGTTTACATATTTTTTTGCAAAGAAATAATAAAAAATTGTGACAACATTTTTCCTTTGAGAATGTCACTTATTTCTTAATATTTCCAGAATGAAAATACTTAAATATTTGCCTTAAATTATAATAGCAGTAATGTAAAACATTCATCTTTGATAGTTTATCAATAATACTGTATTGTATTTCTGTCCTTATTTTTATTTATCCTATTTGATTATAATGGTATAGTTTCATGACTAAGCTACTTGCTACACTTTGTAATTACTTTATCCTAGGGACTTAATTAAAATCCAATTATAAAATGATTGCTTGAGAAGACAGTCTGATAATGTCTAGAAAGGAAAAAAAAAGTTGGGATTGAAGGTACTGGGATAAAGCAATTTTAAGCTTATGCTATCATCTGTTCGTTTGCTTCTCTCAAAACGGGTGCAGATAATAGGCAGCTTATTTCCTAGATGGTGAAGGGAACACTACAGGAGGAAAACCTTCTACAATAAAAATTCATGCAACTTGGGTAGTTTGTTTTCCCATCAGATTTATTTGTGGACATACAGACTACAGAAATATTTTTTTCTGATTAGGAAACTTTTAAGTGTTTATCTGAAGAAAGAAATACACTACAGATACTGTGAAAAACTAATTTGCAAAATTGCCATGAAAAGCTACTAGTCGCAAGCTGCAAGAATATCTCTGACACTATTGGTATTTTAATTACCTAAAGTTTGACCATACTGATACAATATTTATTTCCAAAACATTTATTTAGATTAATTAAAAACTTTTAAAACCACTTCGCTCATGAGTGATGAGTACATTCAGGTTAACAGATACCTTCTAGGTGTGAATCAAAGAAAGTCATCTGTCCACATTCTGTCACCTAGTGACAATTGTAAACCTGCAAGTTGGCTGACATGTTTTCAGGATTTTCCGATATCTTCTTTTGGTCATTTTATTTGTTTTTTATTCACTACTATGACATTTTAGAGGAAAAAGTGCCTATAACTCATTACAGATCTTAATTACCAGCTCAATAATTTGTAGGCAAACTGAGCTAAAACCTTGGCTTGGAATGCAGTTTGCATGAAATAGTTTATAACCCACACTTCTGTCATATGCACACTGGAGAAGTGTCCTGAAGGGTTGGCAGAAGACCTGAGCGAGTGCAAAGAACACTTAAGGGTTAAATGCCAGGTGGCATTGTGTACTGCTTAGTGTTTAGCAGATTTGATAAAGAAATATGCAAATATTATGATTATATGTTGATGCATTCTTACATTTCTCAGATATAATAAGTACAAGTTAAAGTATTTACCTGTTCTTGGGGAGCTTTTAACTAAAATCTGTATGTGCACCACACAAGAGAGGCAAATAATAGGACCTGTTCTGATTCTTAAATACATTATTCCTTCATAGAGTTGAAAGTTATTTCATCCATAATGCATTTAGAAAGCAAAATTACATTTCTGGGCAAAGTCTTGAGTTTTATTGTCTGTTCTTTGCACTATCAAGTCTTCAGCCACCTAATAAGTATGTTGTATAATGCAGATGTGCATTATGTAGTCTGAATGCAGCCCTTTTTTATAGATTAGTAAGTGTAACTGATAGATTTTGTTTCTTACATAATTTGTTATTCATTTGTACTTTCAGTGAGGTTAACCAATAGCACGGGAAATAAACTAAGTTTTGCTCTTGTACTAACTCACATACTGTTTAAAATGTCAGATCTCTGATGGAGGTGATGGCAGTCAGATAAAAAGATGTTCAAAGATTTAGCCAACGCATGAAATGTATTCTCCCTAAAGGGAAAATTCTGTTGAATGAGAAATAGACTAAAACATCACAGTGCTGCCCTTCTTTCATTCATCTGCCTTCCCTCTTTTTCATTGATTGATAAAAGTGCATGTAAAATTCACTTGCTATATAGTTGAATATGATCAAGGGATATTGCTAGAAGAGGACAAGAATCTACAGACTGACACTATTTAGCATGAGTGAACAGTGTTTATTTGGACATACTATAGGGGAATGCCTCATATTCCTTGATGTTAATCAGAAACTGATAATGGTTCAGGAGAAAACATTT